ACGTCTTTGGTGGTCTCCCATCCAAGTACTAGTCAGGTCTGACCCTGCTTAGCTTCCGGTGTTTTTGTGCTGATCTGATGAGATCGGCCAGCTTGGTGTACTGTTTAGGAGCACGGACTCTAATCTGGGAGGACCGGGTTTGATTCCCCACTCCTCCTCCACTTGCACCTGCTGGATGACCTTGGTTCTGACAAGAGCTGTCCTTGAAAAAGAGCAGTTTCTGCCAGAGCTCTCTCAGCCCCACCACCCTCACCGAGGGTGTCTGTTGCAGGGAGGGGAAGGGAAAGGAGTTTGTAAGCCACCCCGAGACTCCCTTGGCCAAGGCAAGAGACGTTCAGAGGTGCTATGCTAGTGCCTGCCTCGGCGTGGCAACCCTGGACCTCCTTTCTGGGTCCCCATCCAGGTGCTGACCATGTCTGACCCTGCGTAGTTTCTGATATTTGATGAGATCAGGTTAGCCTGGGCCACCCAGGTCAAGGCAAGAGGCGTTCAGAGGAGGTTTGCTAACGCCTGCCTTGGCGTGGCAACCTTGGACTTCCTTGCTGGCTACCCAGGTCTGACCCTGCTTAGCCGCTGACATCTGACAAGATCTGGCTCGCCTGGGCCGTCCGTGTCAGGGCAAGAGACGTTCTGGGGTGGTTGGCCCTTGCCGGCCTCTGTTTAGAGACCCTGGACTTCTTCCTTGGTGGCCTCCCATCCAAGGACTGACCAGGGCCGGCCCTGCTTGGCTTCCGAGATCTGACCCTCCCGGCCCGTCCTGGTCAGGGTGGAAGAGCCGTGCCCGTTGACTTCAGAGGTTTTGCTGAGAGAAACAGGCGAGGAGCCAGAGGCGGTTGTGCGGATGTGTGGATTTATTTTTATCTCTCTCCTGCTTCTCCAGTGAAGCTTGTTGCTCAAAACACACAAACTGTTGCTCGTCCGTAAAAGCCGCAGGCACAGATACGAAGCAGACCCCGGCTGCAGAAGCCTCCTCCCTGTCAGGGGTGCCGCCCAAGCGGGTGGGCCACCGGTCCTCTAACGGCACTCTTGTCCCAGAGGCCTTTTTAATGCCTTTGGAGGTGGCCATCTTGGGCAAGAGTGACCCGAAGGGTGCCCCAGCTGCTCTCTTGACCCGGTGGCAGAGAGCCGTCTTCACTCCTTCTGCAGCCCACCAGTGCGTGCCACCTCGGAGACGCACCCAACCAGAAAAGCGGAACATTGTCATTGTGCTTCACAGGGCTGCTAGGGGGGGGAGGGCCCCGGGAGTGAGCGAAGGGCTTGGCTTGCAGATGGCTCCCGCCGGAATGCGGCTAATGCCGCGTGTGTGATCTCACCATCGGAGCCCTGGGGTGGAGCTGGCACCTGGTGGCGAGGACGGCTCTCTTGGAGGGTGAGCAGCACATGGCTGCCGGTTGCCTAGAAGGAGATAAATATTTGGCTCAATGTGGGCCTCCGTGTCCAAGTCCCGGATGGTGGGCTGGGAAGGAATTCGGCGCTCGGGGGAAAAAAGCCACAGAGGCAGTGGTGGTATTTGAGACGCCTCTGGCCTTTAAGAAGCAGATGGGAGACGCAGAAGCCGAGAGGAATTTGGCACGGAATGCCTTGAAGGGGCAGGCTGGGTGCGAGGGGAGCAGCAAATAGGCAGGAAGATCCAGTCCTTGGGGCCCGGCCGGTGGGAAGATGTTGGGGAGTCGCCTCCCTGCTCTGCTGTCCCGTGAGACCTTCCACAAGAGGGTGAAGTTCTCTGGCTGCCAGCAGGGAGGCTGTGGCCACCATGCCCGGCTTCTGAACCTCTGTGCCACTTTGGGGTCTGCGGGGGGAGGTTGGCCAATGGACTCCCCCCCCCAATGAATAAGGCACTCAGGAATGCGAATCTGATCAGGCAAGATGGTATGTGTTTCTTCCCTTCCTCACCATGCACTTTAAAATGCAATTTCCCCTCCAGCTGTTTTCCCAGTTGTGATGTCTGATGAGAAAAATAGCCTTTGGGGAAAGGGTTGGGTACTTCATCCCTGCGACTTCCTGTGGCTGCATTTCAGTGTGCGTGTGCGTGTCCGTGTGTGTTCCTTGATCTCCCACAGCAGGGCCTGGCAGAAACTAGACGGGGATCTTCCATGAGAGGCCTCTCTGCCTTGCTGTTGGCCCTCCAGAGGAACTGGCCGGCTACTGTGTGAGACGGGAGGCTGGACTAGATGGACCCTCCCTGGTCTGACCCAGCAGGGCTCTTCTGGTGTCCTTATCAGGGGAGGGCCTCGGCCTCTCTGCCTTGTTGCTGGCCCTCCAGAGGGACTGGCTGGCCCCTGTGTGAGACAGGATGCTGGACTAGAGGGACCCTCCCTGGTCTGACCCAGCAGGGCTCTTCTGGTGTTCTTCTCAGGGGAAGGCCTCGGCCTCTATGCCCTGTTGCTGGCCCTCCAGGGGAACTGGTTGGCCCCTGTGTGAGACAGGATGCTGGACTAGATGGACCCTCACCGGTCTGACCCAGCAGGACTCTTATGAGGTTCTACTCAGGGGAAGGTCTCGGCCTCTCTGCCCTGTTGCTGGCCCTCCAGAGGAACTGGCTGGCCCCTGGGTGAGACGGGAGGCTGGACTAGAGGGACCCTTCCTGGTCTGACCCAGCAGGGCTCCTCTGAGGTTCTTATCAGGCCTCGGCCTCTCTGCCCTGTTGCTGGCCCTCCAGAGGAACTGGCTGGCCCCTGGGTGAGACGGGAGGCTGGACTAGAGGGACCCTTCCTGGTCTGACCCAGCAGGGCTCCTCTGAGGTTCTTATCAGGCCTCGGCCTCTCTGCCCTGTTGCTGGCCCTCCAGAGGAACTGGCTGGCCCCTGGGTGAGACGGGAGGCTGGACTAGAGGGACCCTTCCTGGTCTGACCCAGCAGGGCTCCTCTGAGGTTCTTATCAGGCCTCGGCCTCTCTGCCCTGTTGCTGGCCCTCCAGAGGAACTGGCTGGCCCCTGGGTGAGACGGGAGGCTGGACTAGAGGGACCCTTCCTGGTCTGACCCAGCAGGGCTCCTCTGAGGTTCTTATCAGGCCTCGGCCTCTCTGCCCTGTTGCTGGCCCTCCAGAGGAACTGGCTGGCCCCTGGGTGAGGTTGGATGCTGGAGCCCTTCAGGGGTCCCAAGAAGCAGGAGTTCAGGGTTGACCAGTGTTGGGTGATGCCCAGTGGAATGAGCCGTCCACACTGATGCCGATGGGGTCTGAACTGGCTAAGGCTGAGAGGGAAAGGGGCGGGGGTCCACAGGGGATAGCTCCATGAAGACGTCGAGCCAGTTTGTGGCCGCAGTGAAAAAAGCACAGACTCCCCTGATGGGGATGGTAAGGGAACGGACTGAGAATGAAGCCAGCCCATATTCTGATGCCCCTGTATGGCGTGGCCCTTCTTGGAATGCCACGTGTACAGCTCTGGTCACCGTATCTCAAAAGGCATCTCACACAGCTGGAAAGTATGAGGGAGAGGAGAACCAAGATGACTCAGGGGCTGAAGCATCTTTCCTGTTTGGAAAGGCTGAAGAGTCATATAAAGCCATTCATGGGACAGAGAAGATGGAGAGAGGGAGCCCTTCCCCCTTCTTCCATCATGCTAGCACTCGGGGTGCCCAGCGGAGTTGACGGGCGATGCGTACAGGCGGATGCATTTCTTTACCCAAGCTAGTCATTAAATTGTGGGGTTCACTGCCAGGAGAGGTTGCGATGGTGGCCAGGATCACAGACAGCGGGAAAAGAGGACTGGGAAAAGATGAATGGATGCAGTGCTCCCTCTAAGCTGCGGAATCTTGTGAGCAAAGATTGCTTTGTGAGCTACTGGCATGAAAGTTGTGAGCAAGCGAATTGGCTGCTGCATTAATTAGCTTGCTCTGGAGCCCTTCTTCCTGAGCCAAGACAGAAATGTGTGAGCCGGGGGCTAAAAAACTGTGAGCCAGCTCACACTAACTCAGCTTAGAGGGAACACTGCTTGCAAGCAATGCTCCCTCTAAGCTGTGGAGTCTTGTGAGCAAAGATTCTACTTTGTGAGCTGCCGGCATGAAAGTTGTGAGCGAGCGATTTGGCTGCTGCAGAAATCAGTTTGCTCTGGAGCCCTCCTTCCCGAGCCAAGACAAAAATGGGTGAGCCGGGGGGCTAAAAAACTGTGAGCCAGCTCACACTAACTCAGCTTAGAGGGAACACTGGAATGGAGGAGAGGTCTGTCGATGCCATGGTCAGAGGCCGGAAACCTCTGGCACTCGGTGCTAGGAGGCGCTGTCCCAGAAGGCCCGGATGCTGGACTAGATGGACCCTCCGTGCTCTGGCGCCACGGGGCTCTTCTGGTATTCTTAGAGGAGTGGTGAGGGGCTTCCTGCCGGAGAGGCGGTCTGGGCAGAAAGAGAACATGCCTGGGGTCTCCAGCTGTTCCTCATAGCTTTGTATAGTGGGGGGGGGGCTGCGCCACGTTCTCTTCCTGGCTGCCTCCGTGCCCCCATCATGGAGGAGAGGAGACCCCTCCGGCCCCCTTCCTGCGCTTCTAGCTGGCTGCCGCACTTCTCTGGGCACTGCAGATGCCCCCGGCTGGCGAACGCTTTAAAAATAGCCTCCCACCATCGCAAGATGTCTCCGTCTAACAGCTCTCTCCTCTGCCGTCTTTCCGCTGGTACATGGTGGGAACGTGTCCCCGCGTGAACTCCCCGCGCGGCGTTGTGTGCAGAAGTTCTTTTAAGGCAATTTGCACGAGGGAAGACAAAAGCGCTCCTTGGATACGGAGCCCTTCGCTCCGCCGTGCATTAGGCAGGCCTGTTTCGGAGGCTCCCCCGCCTGCTTGGCCTCCTTGCCCGCGGCCCCGGCCCCCTCCCCTGCCGGCAGGGGTGCCCGGCGGTCGAGCAGGGGCACGGAGAAGCCCGCCCTGGCAGTTTTTGGAGCTGTGCTGGATGGCAGAGGCCCTGCCCGGTTTCCTCCTCCTCCCAGGGCTCCGTGTCCCTGCACACCTATTTGCGGAGGGGAAGCGGCCTCCCTCTCCGGTTACAGGGTCACGTGGGGCTCCTATTCCTGCCCTCCCTGTAGCAGCACAGCCCCCTCCTGCAGAGCGCTCTGCCCCGGGAGCCTCACAGAGGAGGAAGGGTGAGTGGGTCTTCTGCCGTCCCTTTCCCCTGCTGGATAGACCGGATAGACCGAGAAGGATGGCAGGAGTTTCCCCCGTGTGCCCAGATGTAGCCTGAAGGGTTTGAAAGGGCCGCCTCGGGATGGAAGAGGCAGGGGACCGTCCCGGTCTCGGAACTCTTGCCCCTCTCTTTGGGTGGAGGCCCTTCTGACAACCCCCTCTCCCCACCTCTCTCCCTGCAGGAATAAAGAGTCGGTGGCCGGGACCGTCTCCACGATGGGGAAGGATTACTACAAGGCCCTGGGGATCCAGTCGGGGGCCAACGAGGACGAGATCAAGAAAGCCTACCGGAAGATGGCCTTGAAGTACCACCCCGATAAGAACAAGGACGCCAACGCGGAGGACAAGTTCAAGGAGATTGCCGAGGCCTACGACGTCCTGAGCGATCCCAAGAAACGGGCCGTCTACGACCAATACGGGGAGGAAGGTAAGGGGGTCGGCGGAGGGGTGCGGCTGCTCCTTGTCTGGGTTCCCACCCTGGGAAGAGTAGGGGTGGTGTCTTGATGACGGGGTCCCCATCCACTCGCGCCTTGGGGCCCCTTCCTGTTGGTCCCACGCCCGCAGAAGTGCAGCTCCTGACCGGCTGTGGCTGGCCTGGGGGCGGCTTCTTGAACAGCTTCCCCGGGCGAACTCCGCTGGCTTCTCTGGGTTGCAGCGATAGCAGTCGGGGGGAAGTGGGGAGAAGCACCCTTGTGGGGAGCTTGTGTGGGGAGAGCCGGATCCGCCCTCACGTGGAGGTTTAGTCCTCAGGGCCACCGGCTCTCTTCCTGCTTGTCGAGAAGGCTCGGTTCCTCCTGGGTTGCTCCGAGGAGAAAACAGGTCCACGTGACGGGCTGTGGGTGAAAACACGTCCCCCGTGGCATAATTGAGGCTTGGCTTCTGCCTTCTGCCGGCGCTCTGCTTCCTTTTCAGTACATGCTGCCCTGGGTGTGTGTGTGTGTCTCTCTCTCTGTCTCTCTCTCTCTCTCTCTGAGTTGCAGCCTTTCCCAATTTTAGTAATAGCTCCTTGTTTCATAAGCAAGGCCTGGCCGTTGGCAGGGAGCAGGGCAGGTTCCGCGGGCCTGTTGTGCCGGGGAGGGAAGGGAGCCGGGAATAGCAGTCGCGTGAATCAGCCAGATCGGCCCAGGACTCGCTGTGCAGAAGATCGGGAATGAACAGTCTCTGGCAGATTTTGCTGGCCCGCTGCAAATCACATTCTGGCCCAGAAAAGGCAGATTCTGTGATCGGAATACATTTAGGCCAAATGGGCCAGCATTTGTGCATTCGTTTCACGTACATCTCACTCCCGGAATCTTTTCGAAAGAATCTGGGAGTCGGAGATGGCAGCAGGGGGAGCGTTGACGGGAGAAGATTTGGACTGCCTTGTTTACGAAGCTGGGCAGGAAAGGGCAGGAGCCTGTGCAGACGTGGTCTCTCCCTCCCTCCCCCCACCACTTCCAGTCCATTAACAGGTGCGCTATCATGTGCTGCACCCTTATGGCCTAGAAACATGTTTAAAAGAAACGTGTGGCAAAATTGCGGAGACGGCACACACATTCGCCCATCGGAGCCCCCGCGGAAGAGTGGGGGCAGGTGGGGGAAGGGAACCTTGAGCCTGACTCCTCGGGGAGGCGTCAGGATACGGAGGCAGCAGATGGCTTTGTGGTTTGGCCCCAAAATAAAAGGCTCAGACCTGGCAGAGGTTCTGCTGGCGTGCGCACACTCCGTCTCTCTCTCTCTCTCTCTCTCTCTCTCTCTCTCTCTCTCTCTCTCTCTCTCTGTCTGTCTGTCTGTCTGTCTGTAGGATCTAATTATGTCATAGTGGTGACAGGCAGGACATAATTGCAGCAGTCTTCGCTTCTGTTCAAGGAATAACGGGGGTTTGTGGAAAACCTGTTCCAAGAACTCCACTTAGCCGTTTCATTCGGGTGCATCTCGGGGCAGCCCAGAAGAGGGGTGGTGAGACTAAATTAAAAAGAAAGGAGCCGGGGACGGGGCCACCCGCTCAGCCTGTGAATCCATAAGGGTCCCTGTCGTCGAGGGGGAGAGTCACTGAGTGGACGAGCCAGAGGGGGTGGCACCTGACGTTGTCCCTTGGCGAGGACTTTTGGGAGGCCAGAGAGCTTTCTCCGCGGCACGGCGTCCCCTTTCCACGTTCAGCGTGAGCCCTCAAAGATGCCGCCGATCTTGAGCATTTTGCTGTTAAAAGCTTCTGCTAAAAGGAGCCCAAACATTGCTCACTGGCCATCTTTGTGGCTGCTGAAGGCCTCCCCCCTCTCGAGGAGCGATGTCCCTTGGCCCCGTCCCCCGTCTCCTAGGAAGCTTCCTCTGCTTCCCCCTTCTCTCCTACCCGCGGCTGCTGCAGCAGTTTGCTTGTGAGCTGTGGCTTGTCCTGGAGTCTGATGGCTTGGTGGGGGGTGGGCAGAGGGAAGACCCCCCTCCTCCAGCTGCAGGGCTCTTCAGGGCGGGGCCCAGGCGCAGCGAGTCCCGTGTCTTCACAAGTCCTCCTTCTGGAAGGACTTCCGGTTGTGGCGTTTCATGAGAAACATTGGCTTGGAGCTGTGAATCTGTCTGGGGCTTCCAGGAGAGGTACAGAGGAGGAGACGGATACCTGTTTTCCAGGCAGGGGCTCTTCAGGAACCAGGCCAGAAGCAAACTCTGCAGAGGAATTGGTCTGGCTGGGTGTTTTTCAAGCTCCCTTGAGCTCTATTTCGCTCTTGAATAGTAGAAATTATTGCCTAAGAGCAGGGGTCATTTTGTAGAAAAAGAGGTGCAGGAGCTCATTAGCATAAGTCATTAGCATAACTTATTTGCATATGCCACGCCCCCTGACATCACCGGAAGTGTGTCAGAAGGCAACACTCATCACTCAGGCTCCACTGGACTGTTTGGATTGCTAGCTATTTGGGGGGGGGGGACGTGCAGATCTGTCCTCGCAGAGGAGGGAGAGCTTGTACCTGAATAAAACTTGGTCTTAAAGGTGCCACTGGACTGTTTTGGACTGTTTTGGCTCTGCAACTTACCTGACTGCTTCTTGCCCTGACTGAGGGCTGCTGAAAGCAGGGGGTGGGGCCTGTTGCATGTGCCTGTCCCCTGGGCTCTTTACTGCCGGAGCTCCGCTCCTGTGCGCTCCTGCAGGAAATGACCCCTGCCTAAGAGTGAAGTTCGTATGAAGTCCCTGCAGGGCTTGGGCGAGCATATTCATGCAGTCAGGAGCAGGGCTCCCTCTCAGCTGTGGAGTCTTGTGAGCAAAAATTCTATTCTGTGAACGACTGGCATTAAAGCTGTGAGCGAGCGATTTGGCTGCCGCTGCATAAATTAGTTTGCTCTGGAGCCATCCTTCCTGAGCGGAGACAAAAATGTGTGAGCTGGAGGCTAAAAAACTGAGCTGGCTCATACTATCTCAGCTTAGAGGGAACACTGGTCAGGAGGGATCAGGAGCGCCACCCTGTGCCCATCCCTGCTGCAAGGCCTCTTACACCCACACCACAGTCGGCGGCCTTAGAGAAGAGTCACTCTCCACAGGAGAGGTGGGACCAGGAAGTTCTCCCTAGAATGAGCTGGGGTAGGCAGCCTGCCCTTCAGCCTCTCCTGAGGGCAGACCCCAATGGCCCCCCGTGCCCTCCCGCCTTCCGCCCAAGGGATCGGATGCGTGTCCTCTGCCTGCAGGGATTGCAGGCTCCCTGGAGGTGGCGGGGGCCTGGGGGGCCTCGCAGTGCAGCCGGGAGGGGGGCGGAAGGGGTGAGCGGCTGAATTACAGCCTCTTTGGCATTGTGCTGGAGCACCAGACGACGGTTGCAGGCGCCTCCTGCGTGGCCCTCCTGGTTCTCAGTGGCTGGCCTGCCTTGCCCGAGAAGAACTGCTGCTGCCACTCTGGCTGGGGGGCGGGGGCGGGGAGGAGGCTTCGGGGCTGCAGAAGCTTCTCATACAGCCTTCAGCGGAACGTGTGGGGAGCAGGTGCCGCTGAAGTGACGTTTCCCCTTCCACACACTGTGGTTTAGCAGGAGCAGGCAAAATTAGGGAACAGTCAGCCTGTCTGGTGAGCCGTGAACATAAGAACATAACATAAGAACATAAGAGACGCCAATGTTGGATCAGGCCAATGGCCCATCCAGTCCAACACTCTGTATTACACAGTGGCCAGAAATACCAGGGGCCATCAGGAGGTCCACCAGTGGGGCCAGGACATTAGAAACCCTCCCACTGTTGACCCCCCCCCCCCAAGCACCAAGATGACAGGGCATCACTTGCCCCAGAGCCCCTCTCTATACCTGGTGGTTAGTAGCCACTGATGGACCTCTGCTCCATATGCTTATCCAATTCCCTTTTGAAGCTGTCCATGCTTGTAGCCGCCACCCCCTCCCGTGGCAGTGAATTCCATGTGTTCATCACTCTTTGGGTGAAGAAGTACGTGGATTCAGGCTGTGTTTCCTGTCGGTCTGTGTTCCGTCTCTGCTTTCTCAGTCCCCTGACCGGTGGTTCTCTTCTGCTCTAGGGCTCAAAACAGGCGGCGGCTCCACCGGCAACACAGGGAGCACCTTCCACTACACCTTCCACGGAGACCCCCACGCCACCTTTGCCTCCTTCTTTGGGGGCTCGAATCCCTTCGACATCTTCTTCACCAGCGGTCGCTCCCGAGTCTTCAACGGCTTCGACCACGACGACATGGACGTCGACGAGGACAGCGACGACCCCTTCAGTGCCTTTGGGCGGTTCGGCTTCAACGGCCTCAGCGGTGTTCACCGGCGGCACCCAGAGCCCATCCACATGCGGCGGAAGGTGCAGGACCCCCCGGTGGTCCACGAGCTGAAGGTCTCCCTGGAGGAGATCTACCACGGCGCCACCAAGCGGATGAAGATCACCCGCCGCCGGCTGAACCCGGACGGGAGGACCGTGCGGGCCGAGGACAAGATCCTGAACATCGTCATCAAGCGCGGGTGGAAAGAGGGCACGAAGATCACTTTCCCCAAGGAAGGGGATGCCACGCCTGACAACATCCCCGCCGACATCGTCTTCGTCTTGAAAGACAAGCCGCACACCCACTTCAGGCGGGACGGGACAAACATCATCTACGCGGCCATGATCAGCCTGAAAGAGGTCAGTCCTTGGCTCCAGACTGAAAGGGGGGAGGGGGGGGAGAAGTCAGTGGGCGTTCTCCCCGGGTGCGCCACGCTCCCAAGGGGGTCTTGGCCATGCTGCGTCTCAAAGGGAGAAGAAAGGGCGTGTGTGTGTGTGTGTGCTGATGCGACCAGCCTCTCTGGTGCCCTGCTGGTTTTCCTGGCCAGTGGCTCTCTGTCAGTGGCTCTGCATCCCTCCCTCTTCCCTGGGAAAAGCTGCCTTGCCCGGGTAGACTGGTGCAGAGGACAGAGCCCCGTGCCCTCCATCGGTGGCTCCTAGCCCACGCAAGAGTTTAGGAGGGCATCGTTCTTAAGAACATAAGAGACGCCAATGTTGGATCAGGCCAGTGGCCCATCCAGTCCAACACTCTTGTGTCACACAGTGACCAGAAATACCAGGGGCCATCAGGAGGTCCAGCAGTGGGGCCAGGAGGACACAAGAAGCCCTCCCACTGTTCCCCCCCCCCAAGCACCAAGAAGACCGAGCATCCCTTGCCCCAGCCTGAGAGTTCCTATCTATATACCTTGTGGCTAATAGGGGCCACCGATGGACCTCTGCTCCAGATGTTTATCCAGTTCCCTCTTGAAGCCGTCCATGCTTGTAGCCACCACCACCTCCTGTGGCAGTGAATTCCATGTGTTCATCCCTCTTTGGGTGAAGAAGGACTTCCTTTTATCCGTTCTTGTTCAGCTCTGAAAAGCACCGGAGGCAGCGGACTTCACTGAGGCATGTGAACCTGGGAAAACAGGGCCGGGTGCATCTGCAGTGGGGAGGCAGGGGTGGCCCACGAAGGCCCCCCTCCCAAGAGTCATACGTGTGCTGTAAATGGGGGAAGTGGGCCGAGAGGGGCAGAGAGAGGGGGTCTGAAAGAGGCAGCGGGGGCAGAGTCCCCCGACGACTGCTCTTCGTAACCTCAGAACGTCAGCACTCGGCTGCGAATGCAGCCGTGGAAACTTATTGACGGTCTCTCAGAAGGGCCCTGCAAAATCACCGCAGGTGGAGGAGAGGCGGTGGTTCCTCCTTACTTGGCCAGAGACAAAGAGCAGGAGCCCTCGGTGGAGCCCAGTGATTTCTGCTCTCCCAGCTCTGGTATCTTCCAGTCCTGTGTGGCTGGGACAGGCTGGAGAAGTCTCTCTCCCTCTTAGAGACGGGGACAGAACACCTTTAGGGGAGCCCCAAGGCATGCATGAGTCTCCCAGCCAACTGATCCCCTGGAGGCTTTGGACATAAACATCAAAAAAGCCCCGCTGGACCAGACATAAGAACATAAGAGACTCCAATGTTGGATCAGGCCAAAGGCCCATCCAGTCCAACACTCTGTGTCACACAGTGGCCAGAAATACCAGGTCCACCAGTGGGGTCAGGACACCAGAAGCCCTCCCACTGTTGACCCCCCCCCAAGCACCAAGAAGACAGAGCATCACTTGCCCCAGAGCCCCTATCTATATACCTTGTGGCTAATAGCCACTGATGGACCTCTGCTCCATATGCTTATCTAATTCCCTTTTGAAGCCGTCCATGCTTGTAGCCACCACCACATTCCTGCGGCAGTGAATTCCAAGTGTTCATCACTCTTTGGGTGAAGAAGGACTTCCTTTTATCCATTCTAACCTGACTGCTCAGCAATTTCATGGAGTGCCCACGAGTTCTACCTGCTCTTTCCCATGCATAATCTTATAAACCTCAATCATGTCTCCCCTCAGTCGTCGTTTCTCCAAGCTAAAGAGCCCCAAGCGCTTTAATCTGTCTTCATAGGGAAAGTGTTCCAACCCTTTTAACATTCAAGTTGCCCTTTTCTGCATTTTTTCTGCATTTTTTCCAAAGCTATAATATCCTTTTTAAGCTGTGGTCCATCCACTGAGGGTCCATCCAGTCCAGCATCCCCTCTCAAGCAGTCGCCAACCAATTCCTTTGGACGTCCACCAATGGGGCACAGGGGCCGTGGACTTCCCATGATGTTGCCTCCTGGCTCTGGGGCTCAGAGGATTAGTGCCTTTGAAATGCCTTCGCTTTCCTCCTGCCCTCCTCCTCCAAATGCCACTGCCACCTGGACTCCATATGCATGCATTAAGCATTGAACATAAGAACATCAAAGGAGCCGTGCTGGATCAGACCAGTGGTCCATCCAGTCCAGCATCCCGTCTCACATAGTGGCCAGCCAGTTCCTCTGGAGGGCCAACAACAGGGCAGAGAGGCCGAGGCCTTCCCCTGATAAGGACACCAGAAGAGCCCTGCTGGGTCAGGCCAGGGAGGGTCCCTCTAGTCCAGCCTCCTGCCTCACACAGGGGCCAGCCGGTCCCTCTGGAGGGCCAGCAACAGGGCAGAGAGGCCGAGGCCTTCCCCTGAGAAGAACACCAGAAGAGCCCTGCTGGGTCAGACCAGGGAGGGTCCCTGTAGTCCAGCATCCCGTCTCACACAGTGGCCAACCAGTCCCTCTGGAGGGCCAACAACAGGGCAGAGAGGCCGAGGCCTTCCCCTGAGAAGAACACCAGAAGAGCCCTGCTGGGTCAGACCAGGGAGGGTCCACCTAGTCCAGCATCCCGTCTCACACAGTGGCCAACCAGTCCCTCTGGAGAGCCAACAACAGGGCAGAGAGGCCGAGGCCTTCCCCTGAGAAGAACACCAGAAGAGCCCTGCTGGGTCAGACCAGGGAGGGTCCCTCCAGTCCAGTCTCCCGTCTCACCCAGGGACCTCTGGAGGTCCAACAGCAGGGCAGAGAGGCCGAGGCCTTCCCCTGAGGTGCCCTCCTGGCTCTGGGACTCTGTCACAAGCAGCGGCTAGAAAGGTTCTCTCTCATTGTTGCCGCCACTCTGGTGTGGGTCTCCTTAAAGAGATTTAACAGCAACGGTCATTCTAAGAGCGTGCAGGGAAAATGAGCACACCGCAGCAAAGTGAGCCACCTGAACGCGTCGGACGGTGCTGCCCCTGGGCTCCTCCAGGTCTTTGGCCTCCAGCTGACCCCCACCCCCTTTGGGTGAGGGATCCCTCCTCCTCCTCCTGCGGCACCCTCCCACCAGCCCTGCTCCCTGGGAGTGAGCTCCCTCCCCCACTCTGGGCTAGAGGTGTAAAATTTCCGGAAATTTTGAAGGTTGGAAAAAAACCCAATTTTTTTCAGGGGAAAACCAGAAATGTTTCAAAAAATTGAAAAAAAAATGCTACATTAGCACTTATTTTTTCTTTTCCAGATTGAAAGTCTTTCTGTTACTTTAGGAGCATAAAATATGACTATGGACATTTTTACTTGGCATGAAATTATCACAACTAGCATACTAAAAATATAGTGTATCCAAACAATTATTACAAACAGAATACCCACCCACATGCAAAAACAAAACAGAGACCTTTTTCTTTTCTTGTGACAACATAAGAACATAAGAGATGCCAATGTTGGATCAGGCCAAAGGCCCATCCAGTCCAACACTCTGTGTCACACAGTGGCCAGAAATACCAGTGCCATCAGGAGGTCCAGCAGTGGGGCCAGGACACTAGGAGCCCTCCCACTGTTGACCCCCCCAAGCACCCAGAATACAGAGCATCCCTTGCCCCAGAGTCCCTATCTATACCTTGTGGCTAATAGCCACTGATGGACCTCTGCTCCATATGCTTATCTAATTCCCTTTTGAAGCCGTCCATGCTTGTAGCCGCCACCACTTCCTGTGGCAGTGAATTCCAAGTGTTAATCACTCTTTGGGTGAAGAAGTACTTCCTTTTATCCGTTCTAACCCGACCGCTCAGCAATTTCATGGAGTGCCCACGAGTGCCCGCGAGCACCTCCTAGAGGAAGAAATGCATCTTGTTCTTGCATTGGAGAGTTCAGTTTGTCACCTAGGACTTGCTTGTCCTCAGTGTCCTCAGAAATAAGATAAATCTGATACCATACATATTTTTTAGAAATGATTTGGAAAATATTTGAACACCTTGTCTTAAAATATTTTATTCATCATGTTAAAATAAAATGTTCCATAATCAATTTTTTTTCCTTTTTTTAATTTTTCGGGAAAAAACAAAAAAGGCCTCAGGAAAAAACCCGGTTTCCCCCCCGCCCCGAATTTTTCCAGTTTTTTTCTGGGCCTTCACATCTCTACTATGGGCAAGGCCTTTTATCGCTTCTTCCCAGGCACTGCCCTCCACTGTTCTACTGGTGCAACTTTTCCCTCCAAACCCGCTGTCAGCCAATCACAGGGCCCAAAAGGTTACCTGGGAAATGTAGGCCCTGATAGCTACTCTAGTACAGGCTTGCCTGGAGCCACTAGGCCTCCCTAGAGCCTGTAGGCCGCCACCACCACTCTAGGCCCAGGATCATGACAGAGGCTCACTGCCTCCGAACGTGGAGGTTCCCTTTAGTCACCATGGCTGGTATTTCTACTGTTTTGGGAGAGGGAGAACAATGTTTCTTTGTCAACTCTCTCCCCACCCCGTGCATAATGTTATACACCCCTGTCATGTGTCCCCCCCGCCCCCGGAGTGGTCTCTTTTTTAAATGGTGAAGTCCCCAAGACTCTCCGGCCTTTCCTCCGGGGGAAGGGGCTCCAGCCCCCTCATCACCTTGGCCGCCGTCCTCAGCTCTGCAATGTCCCTTTTCTGGCAGCGCACCCACGGAGGGGCACCTTTGCTTCCGCACGTGTGCCTGTATCCTGTGCCACAGATCAGGGCGCCACCAAGGCAGGCGGTGCATGGTGCGAGGGACTGCACAAAGGGGCAGGATCCGGGCCCTTCGCTAACCCTTGGGGGAGGAGTGGGTTGCAGCCCTTTTTGGCTCCGGCTGCTTTCGAGGGTTGCTTGAAGCCAGGTGTCCTCTGTTGGGTGAAGGGAGTGAGCAGTGCCCTGCCGATCTCCCGCTCAAGCCTGGCACCCTCTTTCAGGCCCCTGGTAAAGGAGAGGAGGACTGTGGGGCTCCGGGGTGTGTGGTCTGAGCCCCATTTGGGGGGTTTTTTTTGGGCCCTGTTTGGGGGGGGGGCCCCCCCCCCCCCCCCCCGGGGACTTTCACGATGGGAGAGAAATGCACGAAACAGTCAGGTGACCTGAATACTGTACGGAAACAGTAAACTACTTCAGTCTCTTTTTTGGAACTGGTGCCCCATAGTTTGGGCCAGCCCACGTATCATAGAATCATAGAATGTTAGAGTTGGAAGGGACCTTTCAGGTCATCTAGTCCAACCCCCTGCACTCTGCAGGAGCATAGCCGAAGGATGGTCGTCCAGCCTCCGCTTGGAAACGTCCAGCGAAGGAGCATCCACCACCTCCCAAGGCAGACTAGACTGTTCCGCTGCTCAACCACTCTTACAGTCAGAAAGTTTTTCCTGATATTTAGTCAGTATCGACTCCCTTGTAATTTCCACCCATTAGATCTAGTCTTGCAATCCGGAGCAAGAGGGAATAGATCTGCTCCATCTTCTACATGACAGCCCTTCAGATGCTTGAAGACTGCAATCATGTCCCCTCTAAGCCTTCTCTTTCCCAGGCTAAACAGACCCAACTCTTTCGGCCTTTCGGCCTTGGATTCCAACCCTCTCACCGTCCCGGTTGCCCTCTTCTGGACACGCTCAAGCTTGTCAACCTTCTTCCTCAAATGTGGTGCCCAAAACTGGACACAGGACTCCGGGTGAGGCCTGACCATAGTAGAATAGAGCGGAACGGCCACCTCCCTTGATCTGGACACGATGCTTCTGTGAATGCATCCTAAGATTGCATTTGCTTTCGTCGCAGCCAGATTGCACTGCAGGCTCATGTTGAGTTTGTTTAGTGTATTATTTATTTATTTATCTTCCATCTTTATGGTCCGCCCTCCCTGCGAACGGGCTCAGGGCAGACCACAGCAATAGTCAGAATTGTCCCTGACGCCGGTCAGCTGCAGCAAATGTGTTTGTGTCTTGTATTGACAAGCGAGCCAAGCAAAGAGGGAGTTCTCCCAGCTGTGTGTGTGTGGGGGGAGTTGAGCCCCCTGTGGCTCCTGCACCGATGGTTCTGGGTTGGCTAGGGGCTACGTGCCAAGCTAGCCCCACGCTCGGAGCCGTGGCAGTCAGTAGCCTGAAGCTCATGAGGCAGCCCCACGGTGGCCCTCCCTGCCTTCTGGAGCTGGCCGGGGCTCTGGGGTGGGGGGTGGGGACGGACACAGACCTCTTCCCACTGCAGCAGCCGTTTCTCCAAAAGGAGGCAATCTGGGGATGGGGCTCAGCACACCCTCCCTTCCCTTCTTTGGCGGAACGCCCCTCCCCTGTGGACCCCGAAGGGCCATCAGACACCTTTCGTGAACGCCCCCTCCTTCCGCCCGGAAGCGAGGCCCGGATTCTCCGGTCCACAGTGGCTGACCTGTTCCAGTATCCGTACCTCCTCCCGCCGCTTGCCTCGCCAACTCCTTTGGGGCCGCCTCGCCATTCCTCTTCGCCACGAGCGGCTGGTGTTTTTGGGCTGTTTCCGGAGCTGGCAGGTTCACCTGAGGACGCCACTCGGGGCCTTCTCGCTCCACATGAGCTCCGTGCGGCTTTTCCCTGCCACCTTCTGTGCGAAATGTGCAATGCATGGGCGGCTCTTCCACCGGTTTTTCCTTCCAGGCTCTTCTGTTGACATTAATTGAAATGAAAGGTGTGTGTGTGGGGGGGCTTCGGGGGCTGGGAGGGCCCCTCCTCCTCCTCCTCCTCAGGTGGGGCATGACGGTGTTTCCGCAGGGAAGAACCACCTGCCTGCTCTCGTTTCCCTCGTGGGAACGCAGCCCCCCGGGGAAGCCAGCTCAAAGCCCAGTCCGGAGGCTGCCCCCCCAGGGAGATCTTGCCCAAGTGAGGGTTTTGTCTGTGCTCTGCAGGCCGGCTGTGCAAGGAGATCGCTCCTGGGCCTCCAGTAAGCAAGCTGAATGCAGGGAAACGCTCCCTGGCTTCCCGTCCCTTAGCTCTGGGTGCACACCAGGCAGCTCGGAGCACAGCTGTCCATATGCGTGAAGCTCAGCTTCCCTCTCCTTGGCCGGGCGGGGCTGGGTGGAGCTGTGCCATCTCCCAAAGGACAAGGAGCTAGTCATTCTGGGACATGCCAGGTCACGGGCTTGGACTCACTCATCTCGACTGGCACCGTAACGGGGAGCCTCAGCCAGGCACGTGGCTCCCCCAAGTGGAAAAGCAAGGGGGGGGATGAGAATGGGGGGGCTTGTTGTTTTGGGGGTTGCTCCCCTGGAGTCAGCATTCAGGTGGACCCTTTGGCAGCTCTGACGCCGTAAGAATAGCCCACCTGGATGGTTTATTGCCCCCCTCCCCGGCCTCGCTGCAACAGGCAGGAGAGACCGTCCGAAGGCCTCCTCGTGGCCCTGGAAGTGGCCCTGCGTGTCCCTGGGAAGGCCGGAGCCTCTCCTCGGCTTGTGCCACCTTCCGGAGGCGGCCGGCTGCCAGGGGCTGTGAGCACAACAGCTGAGGGTGGGGGGGGGAGCTGTGGAAACATCTGAAGACCGCTCGGTTACCTCACTGGGGGATTAGGCGCCGAAGCCTCTCTAAATTTAGCTGCTCTCGCTCAGAGTTTGTGGCAGGACCGCGTGGGCTCTGAGCAGCTCTGGGGCTGGCAGCGCCTGGCAGGGAAGGTCCCCCCCCTGCTCCAGAGTTTCAGCTCCCAGAAGGGGGGGGGGGAAGGTGTGGGTCTGCCTGGCCTCCCGCCTAACGCTCCCCTCGGTCTTGCTTGTGTCTTCCAGGCCTTGTGCGGCTGCACCGTCAACATTCCCACCGTCGACGGGCGCGTCATCCCCCTGCCCTGCAACGACATCATCAAGCCCGGCACGGTGAAGAGACTGCGGGGGGAGGGGCTCCCCTTCCCCAAGGTCCCCACCCAGCGCGGAGACTTGATTGTAGAGTTCAAAGTCCGCTTCCCGGACCGGATAGCCCCCCAGACCCGGCAGATCCTCAAGCAACACCTCCCCTGCTCCTAGGCGCGCGGCCCCCCCACCGCCGCCCCCGGGCCGGGCCGGCCTCCTCTCCACCTTGCCAGCTGTAAGCAGCGATACTTCACGCCCCGCGGCCTGTACCGTGCCCGGGGGCTCACTGCAGACCACACCCTCCTTTCCCAGGAGGCACGCTGGCCTGGCTTGTCTGTGCTCTCTCCCTTTCCCTGCCCCTCCCCGGACCTGGCTCCCCGGCCGCGTGTGAGCGGGAGCCCCGCCTGCGTGTGCCCACGGTCGCTCTGCGGGCTGCTGCTGCTGGACAACTGACCCTGCCGCACTCAGCGGGAGCCTCGGTGCAGATCGGACTACGGCACCTCTCCCGTTCCTGCCGGGGCGTCTGAAGATCTTCTCACCGCTGCTGCTTGGACGACCGGCTCATGCCAAAAGCCGGCCCAGCCTGGTGTGCCCAGAGCAGGCCAATTCGAACCCAGAGCCAAGCTCTCCCGAACCACGAGTGCACCTGCCGGGAGTGGCAGAGCCTTTCTCCCGGCTCCTCCTCCTCTGCAAAGGACACTGACTTTTTCCTCTGCCAAGCCGTACCCGGCCAGGGTGGGCTCCTCCGTTGCGGCACTGCGGGAGAGCTGGGGGCACCCTTCTGGCCAGCGCTGCCCGAGCGCCCAGCCGCCGTGGCCGCCGCTCTCGCTGGGCCTGCCTGGACTCCTGCTCTCGCTTGCTCCAATAGAAACTTTGCAAGGGTTGGTCTCTCGCCTGTCCGTTTTGGGTTGTGCAGAGTGGTGCGTGCTTGTCTACCTTGGGGCAGCGCTTCTCCCTCCCGCACCAGGCCGCTGTGTTGGGCCAGAGGCCAGGAGCAGCGCCTGGGCCGATGTCACGTGGCGGCAGGGACCGGCGTGGGGCCTTTTACCTTCCGGGGCCGCAGAAGGGGCGGGGCGGAGGGCTGAGATCCGCTGGGGTGCTGGGGTGGTTGCCAACAGCGTGTTTTTCAAAAACCTTTTTCCGAGGGAGAAGTTGCTAACCCAACACGACTTCTTGCCAGCTAAACTTTGCTTCATCTGCAGGGGCCCCTCTGGGGACTGAGCCGTTAATGGGGCCTGACTTCCGTAAGGCTTTGAAGCTGCTTTTCAAAAGCTCCCCCCACCCCCTTCTGCTCCCTGAAATGTGGTGCCAAAACTCCCTTCCACGGGGTCCCCAGCTTTGTATCTTTGAACTGAGGTATTTCTTCTGCCTTGAAAGGGGGCTGACTCCCTGGGTGGTGGGGAAGAGGGGGGGGTGTCGCTGGGCTGCTGGCCCTCCTCCTGGGTTTCTCACGGCGGGTCAGCTGATTTTTGGAGCTGCTACTCTGCTAAAAAGTATTTTATGTGCCGGAGGGGGTGGCGTGTCGGAATGCACAAAGCCCCAGCCGCCCCCTGTATAGGTGTACAGAATCTAACGCGTCGAAGTCTTTTAACGTGCAATTTTTTGGGGGGGAAGATTGAAACTGTCCACGCAGTATTTGGCTCAAATCAACCCATTTGAATGGTTACGACAAGGCCTTTTTCTGCTCCCTCCAGAGCGGGTGTGGGTGTGGCTGGGTGTGCGTGCGTGGGAGCGTGTGTGTACGTGTGTGGTTTTTAAAAAAAATACAAAAAAGCTCTGGGGATGCCGGGGGCCGGCAGGTCGGAGTTGGCGGAGAAGGCGGCAGCCCCTTTGGGGGCTTTTCTCCGGTTCAGCGAGCCTCCTCGTGGTTTTATAGCAGTTTTTTTGTATTTCTTTCCTCTGATTTTTGTAATGTCCTGTATTAATATTTAAAAATAAAAAACTATTTTAAAAACAGGAACTGTGAGCGATCCGTGTGTGCGAGGAGAAACAGGAAGCCTGCGGCGTCTGCAGGCCAAGTTGGAAAGTAGAGGAAGGTAAGGCAGTGGTGCCTGCTTTCCCCCGCCTACTCCTCAGCACACCCCTGCGAGGCAGGCCAGGCCGAGCTGCCATGGGCCTCTTCCCCCTGCCAAGGCCAAGGGCTGAGAGAGGGTGGCCATCTTTGTCCTGGGGGTGGGGGATGGTGGTGGTGGTGGTCAGGAGCTGATCCTCTTGGTGGGTTTCTGTTGGTTCTTTGGTTGCCGAAGGACATTGGGGTGGACTCAGGTCAAATCAGAGAATCTCTGGGGGCATTTGACCTGAGTTCTGTTGGGTTTGGGCACTGACTGCCACAGTGGCACTGGTTCTGGGGGACAACACTGCACTGGCTCTGCTGCTGGCGCACCACACCTCACTTACTTTCTTGCAGAGAGATTGTCAGGGAGACACTGCCGCCTGCCTTTTCCCCATCCCCATAGGAAACAATGGGGGATTGGGGGCACTGCCTTTGGATGCCCCTAGAATGGGACCCTCTGGTCCAATCTTTTCCAAACTTGGGAGGTCTTTTGGGGAGAGGCTCCAGCAGCTACAGTACAAATTTGGTGCCTCTACCTCAAACCCGTCCCCCAACCCCCTGAATACCTGTTAGAGGATTTTTGCCCTTGATACAATGGCCCCATAGGATATAATGGACCCGAAAATTTTTGGGAATTCTGAAATTTTCCAGGTTTTTCTAGTATTCATTTTTCAGCAGCCAAATCAGCTCAGGGAAGCTGATTCGGTATCCCAAAAACCCGAAAAATGCCGAAAGGTTTTTTCGGGGTGGGGGTTTTCGGGTTGGCTTTACCGAATGCACAGTCCTATTCTCATGTCCAGTCCCTCTCCTTTAGATAAACACTAATGTGGGTAGCTTCACTTGTGGAACCCTTGCCCAAGGGAAGGCCAGGCTGTCTGCGAGGAGGACGAGGCTTCCGTGGGCGGCCTGGAGTGCTCTTGAGCAGAGCCAGCTCACCGCTAGCAGCCAGATGAAATCCTCCCCTCGCAGCGCACAGAACCCCGCAGGAAATGACCCCTGCTTGATGGACCAGTTATCTGATTCAGCAGAAGGCAGTTTCATGTGTTTTGGGGCGGGGCTGTGGCTCAGTGGCAGAGCCTCTGCTTGGCATGCAGAAGGTCCCAGGTTCACTCCCCGGCACCTCCAGCTAAAAGGATCAGGCAGGTGGTGACATGAGATGTCTGAGTAGAGTCTAAGTAGACACGACTATCTTTGATGAACTGGCGGTCCGATTCAGCGTAAGGCAGCTTCATATGAAGGTATTCCTCTGCTCCCCCCCCCTTGGGGTTGCCAGCTTTGGTTGGAGAAATCCTGGACATTTGGGGGTGAGCCGGGGGAGGGGAGGTCTCTCCCGTCACCTACTACCTGCTCCTTTGTAACCGGAGAAGGGACTGAAGTTCACTGAGATCAGCTTTACAAAGTGGGACGCCGTTTTCCAGGTCTGACAGCAACTCTTCAGGCTGGGTGTTAAAAGTGGACATCTGTGTCAGGAGGACAGCGAGTTGTACCCGGATATTTATATGTGCTCACACTGAGTTCCAGGTTGCAAGGGGAAAAAAAGGGGGGGGGATGAGACATTTTGGTGTATTACGAACAGGCTGTTCCGCTGAGCGTTCCAGCTTACTCCAAAGAGTGGGGAACGTCAGTGCCTGGAAATATTAAAAATGTGTAAAAGGGGAGGATCCTGCATCTTCAGCACTGTGTCGGCCTCACGGGCTTGACGGAAGGCAGAGGTGGAGGGTGTGCGTCAGTCAAACCGAACAGCCGTTTTCTTCACGGAAGTGGAGGTTGACTTTGAAGAGGAGGCGCGATAGAGGTAGCGTCAGCCTAAACGCTGTGACTCCTGCGTGTGATTGAAAAGCATGCGTCTTGCATTTGGGAACTAGCTAGCTGAAATATTAAGCTTCCCCCAGAAAATTGTCATAAGGACATCAAAAGAGCCCGACTGCATCAGACCACTGACGGTCCGTCTAGTCCAGCATCCTGTCTCACACAGGGGCCAGCCAGTTCCTCTGCAGCAGGGGTGCTGAACTCATTTGTGATGGGGGCTTCGATCTGACATAAATGAGACCTTTTTGTGCCGGGCCACGTGTGTCATAAAATGCAATGCCAGGTAGCAGAGATATAAACTTTATAAAGGACACAAACACAAAGGGTTTTTTAAAATTAAAATAAAAACATGCTTAAAACATTAGCACTCTTGCAATATTTTGTTTATTTAACAGTGTCTGATA